GCACAGATGTGAACTAGATCCATAGGAAACCATGGTAAAAGGATTGTAGTGTGTTTCTGCTAACTGGAAAATGCACTGAAATCCGCATAAGTGTGAACCAAAGGTAAAAAATCCCTCCATGTTAGCCTATGTGTCTTTGCACAAATAGGCATTTACAGGAGTTTAGAGGCAGAAAAAAAAAACCCATTACTTGTGCGTTCAAGAGAGAAGCATTTTAGAATGTTTAGCATTCAAGAATTTATGAATTTCAACAGGCGGAATAAGCCAATGAAATGAATGAACACCCAAACACTTGACACGCCTAAATGTATTTGCAAAAACATGGTTTAGCACATATTGAAGCTGCTTTTTTCCTACCAGGTAAAAAGCATTTAGAAGATCCCAGTGTGCCTGAGGCCTAATAAGTAAGACCAGAGCATCATAAAGATTGTGTAACTGTAAGGCATCGTTCACATGGGCATACTTGAGTGTACAACGTATGTGAGGGCCATGTTGTGGTTGCACAAGGGCCCCGTTCATCTGTTTGCAGGCAGTCCCATTCATGTCAATAGGGATGCAGTGGCTGCACAGACACAGCCACTGTTCCTAGTGTAACATTTTTGGGGTGTGCACAGCCCTGAATACATCCTGGGTACGCTCGGGACTGCACCCGCACAGATGTCACATTGGGAGCAGTGTTTGTGTCCTTGCAGTCGCTGCATCCCAATTGATAGCAATGGGACTGCCCACACTGAGATGTACAGAGCACCTGTGCATCTCCATGTGAGTAAACATGGCGCCCACACAGGTTGTGGATTAAAACGCCCTGTCAAGCATCATGGGGATTATGTAACTGTAAGTAAGGGATGTTTACTAGAACATATGAGATGTGCAGTATAACCTTTTTCCACTAGTTAAAGCGACCCTGTCACCACATCCTTCTTTGCCACCTAAAAACGACCCAGTGTGGTCAGTGTGCAGAGGAAAAGCCAATATGCACAGGATTAAGATCACGGTTATCATTGTAGTAGCACCAACTACTACAATGATAAGATTCCCCTGCGACCCTTCAGTATGAGATATGTATACTTGCGTTGTGCCAAGCTGAACCTATGTAAGTATGCAATAAAGATCATATGTGTAGTTCAGCTTTAACATTTCTAGATGTTCCCTATAATATGTCAAATCTTTACTTTTTGAGTTCACATTCACTTTAAAATACAAGTTTGAAGTGCCTTCCATTTAAAATACAAAGCAGGCACTACTTTACAGTGGATATAAAAAGTCTACACACTCCTGTTAAAATGTCAAGTTTCTGTGATGTAAAAAAAATGAGACAAAGTTAAATCATTTCAGAACTTTTTCCACTTTTAAATGTAACCTATAAACTGTACAACTCAGTTGAACAACAAACTGAAATCTTTTAGGTGGAGAGAAGTAAAAATAAAAAAACTAAAATAATATGGTTGCACAAGTGTGCACACCCTTAAACTAATACTTTGTTGAAGCACCTTTTGATTTGATTCCAGCACTCAGTCTTTTTGGGTATGAGTCTATCAGCATGGCACATCTTGACCCACTCTTCCTAGGATGTTGTAAATATATAGTGCATATTCACATTGTTGACCATAAGCTTAGCCAAGGACTCCTTACTATGTTAATTTATGCAAAAGGTAATTACTTTACCTTTGTTATGTAGGGCTAACCTGTTTTTGGATAAATATGTGGAAAGTCCAGCAGTTTCACATTTGGAAAGGTCTTAAATATTCATGAGGCCCTTGTTAATGAGAAATAGCGTTTTTAAAGAGGTAGAGTCTTTACCTGTGCAAGAAGGGTAAAAACATGCAAGTTTCCCTTACACAGTATGAGAAGTATATGGTAAATGGGTTGAAGTTGTCTTAAATATTCCTAGTGTACTTGTTTATGGTGAAGAGAATTTCAATGTGGGTGTCCTGTCCACCTTTGTACAAGGATGTTAAAGATTGCAGTTTTGCCATAAACAAGACAAGGAGTATTTAACTTTTTAATTAAAATCTATGTATACAGCTGTTCTAGGACTAGAGACATTGTTTGTTACACATAAGATCAAACATACTCAAAAACAACCAATTGACACTTTGGTCAATGGGAAAAGGTGTATATCCTCTAAAAGTGTCTGATGATTGCATGAATATTCTAAGTACCAATGTCATCTGCCTTGTCTGTACCTCTTGTCTTATGGATTGTTGCTGAGCCCATTAAATCTCTCTCTGGAATGGAGCTGTTGGACTTATAAATACACTCATCATCCTCTGTGTTGGATATATGACAACAGTTGTCATGCTGAAAGATGAAGTTCCTCTTCATGTTCAGCTTTCTAGCAGAAGCCTGAAGGTTTTGTGCCAATATTGATTGGCATTTGGAACGTTTATAATTCCCAATACCTTGACTTCCGTCTTGCCATTCTACCCCATAGCCCAGACATATGAAGAATACGGGAGATTTTTGTCACATGTACCACACAGCCAGTACTTGCCAGATATTCCTGCAGTTCCTTTAATGTCACTGTAGGCCTCTTGGCAGCCTCCCAGACCAGTTTTCGTCTTTTCATCAATTTTGGAGGGACGTCCAGCTCTTGGTAATGTCACTGTTGCTCCATATTTTCTCCACTTGATAATATGCATGGGGGGGCAACACTGAGGCCAGAGTGTCCGTGAGTGGCCATTGCACCTGTCACGCAGACAGGCCCAGCAGTTGATGAGCTGAGTTGTTGGGTGGGTATAGCCTGATAGGGATCGTGAGAGACTAGTTCCCCATCAGGTTTGCCCCCCCTTAGATTTACAGCAGAGGGTGCCGATTCCATAGCCGTTTAACAGCCCAATAGTGGCTATAGAATCTGCCCACTGGTGCCTGCTGTTAATCATAAAGGAGATGGAGAACTAGTCTCTCAGAATTCTCCATCAGGTGTGGCATCCTTGTGGTTGACTAGGCCTTTGTGGGCAGATTCCATAGCTGCTAGTGGGCTGTGTTTTGTCTACAAAATCTACCCACTGCAGATGGACATGATGAAACAACTAGCCTCTCAGAATGCCCCTCAGGCTCAGCCCAATATCATTGTTCAGCCTCATGTCACTGGTTCCTAGGACACTGGCGGCTTGGGGCCTAGAAACCAATGAAGCTAATACACAACACAATAATAAAGTTAATACACTGCAGCCCCACTTTGAGCACTCTGGCCTGTCTCTGTATGCCAACCACCGCCTCTAAGACCAAGAACTGAGTGATCAAAGACCATTGAGCGTTCAGTTCTTGGTCTTCAGCGAGCAGAGAGCTGGTTACTCTCATACTGGCTCTCTGCTCTGCCCCTCCAGCACTCACTGGAGTGTCGGGCTGTGGAGGGGGCAGGAGCAGCTGGCTCAAGCTCTCGGTGGCATGCTGAGAGGCTGAACCAGCTGTTGGTCAGGCATATGGGTGGATCCCGACATTAAAGTTGGGATCTTTCTAGAGCCTTGTCCGACTGAGTGATGTCAGCCGACAGCGGGCTGTAGCCAGCTGTTGACTGAAATGGGGAGTGACAGTAGTGCAGAACTAAATGCACTCCTGTTATCCATAGGAGAAATAAGGCCGAAAGAGCTTTGGCCCTACTTCTCCTTTTAATGGAATTCACCCAAGTGTGTTACCATGCATTGTGGTGTATTATAATGTGGGCCATGATGCTTGTTGGTGTGAATGAGCCCATAATGACGCTTTACCTTGACATTTCTTTATACATAGCCAGTGCACCTGTAGCATCGGCATTATTCAACTTTAGTCAAAGCTGCACTGTTTGTTTTTATCTACAGGCACTCCTTATCTGCATAGGCAATTTTTGGTAAGGGTGAACTAACCCTTTAAGGGTCCAGTGCACAATTCAACCATCTGCAACTTAATTCTTTTGTCACATTTATTTTGTGGAGTTTGTGTTGACTGCGTATTCAGTATCTAGTTTCCTCCAACAGTCTACGGGATTATTTATATTAGCATTGCCCTCTGAAGAGCGATCTGCATAGAACACTTATCAGGGGAGTTTGACAGGTGGCTGGGAGGAGTTATGATGACTCCTTACTGCGTGTTTTAACTCCTTAAAGCCTGCCCCACCGCACCGGAGCTGTGTACATGTTATGTGGTTGCATATGAATGGGTTCCATTTGGCAGGCATTGAACACAACTGGGTATAATACTTGCTGTAACATGAAGCAAAGCTTCACAGGCATGGTGAGCATACAACCTAATCCGACTGCCTTTGCAGCTTGGGGCCATGCCATGTTTACCTCCTCCAACCAAGTGAAAACTCAAGCAGCCCATAGATTGTTACTTTTTTTTCCCTTAAAACAAAGGTGGAAGGAAAGAAAATTGCTTGATTCACTGACTGTGTTGATGGGGGAATCCCTCCCACAGCACTATTGCGTTCTGTCCGTTCCCTGCTGAACTGGCCAAGATTTGATCCATCTTTGGACAGCTTTAGATTAAGATAATCAGAAGGCAGGCAGGCTCTTGATTATGCTGGGCTTGGTATTAGTGTGAGCTTGGTGGGCCTGTGGAAGGGTTTTCAGTCTGCAAGCTTCCATTGTCTGAGACTTGATTTGAATAATTCAATATTTCCTGTTAAAGTATTTGGACTTTGCTTGACTGAACTAAATGAATTTAAAAAGTTGAAGTGATTATTTCAATATGACCTTGGTGTACAAACGAGAGAGGGGGCACAAAATTATGATACATGACATTATTTTGATGAACAAAATATACATTTTGTAAAGTTTCAGGGGTTGATTTATAAAAACTGGAGCAAATGAAATTTGTGAACTGTATTTATGAAATTTACAGTAGAAAAACAATCCTGGATTTACAGGAAATGGGTCCATTTGCCTTTCATTCAGTTATGGTTTTTTTGTATACTGTAAATACTCTATCAATTCTACAGATCTCAACATTGAACAGTATTCCTTTTCCTGGCCTCTCTATTACTGATATTTTTACTTACCTACTTATATTTCTGTCCTCAGGCTACTCGGCGGTTCCTGCAGGAGATGAATTCCTGGACTTCCTTCCACTCCGTTCCTCCTCTCTCCTGGGATGTTGCTGTGAAATTTCTCATGGCAAGAAAATTTGATGTTGTTAGAGCCATAGAACTTTTTCACTCATACAGAGTAAGGGAGACATACATAATGGTCATCAGTGCCTTCCATCTTTCTCTTTATCTCTCTATTATCAGCCTGCATCTGCCAGATATAATACATTTTCCAGTCAATCACAGTTCTGTTTGAAAAGTGTCACCTTGAAGTACAGTTTTAAGTATAAGGAATATAAAGGTCTAAGAAATAAACTTGTTGCACTGGGTATTTATTAAACCTTTATATTCCTTCTGTACTAAAATATCTATGTCTGGAGAAAGATTAAAGTATAACTAAAGGCAAATAGTTTTTTTTTTCATTTTGGAATGAGTAAGGGGGTTGTGACTCCCCTCCATTTTTTTTCTTTTGCCATCTGTGTCCCATAGGGGGTATTTCCCTTTATTTCCTGTCCCATGGCCAAAACAGGAAGTGAGAGGAAATCCCTCCAAAGTGAGGGAATCCCAGTGTGTCCCTATTGGAATATTTCCCCTCTATTACTGTTCTGGTGTCAACCCAAAATTTGGGATTTTCTTTTACTTTCACTTTCGATGATAACGGTAAACAAGACAAATAGAGAGGGTGAATCTCCTTTACTGGCACAGACAGCAATAAAAACTGGCTGGTGTTCTAATCCTTTTTCACTATCCAAAACTAAGAAAAAAAATTTGCCTGTACTTTAATTAATGAGCTATAAATATTCATGACTTTGTGGGAAAGAGCATAAGTACTAGGGTTGTGAATGCAACAGACACTAAAGAAATTTCCCAGCATGTACTGTAGAACTTGCATACATTTTCTCTTTAGGCCCCTTTCACACGAAGGGTCCGATCAGGTCCACCAGTCAGTATTCAGGAGGACCTGACTGGACAGTCTTTTCACCCCTATGGATCGGCAGGTTTAAACGAACTTGTGTCCAATCCAGTCCGCCTAGTTGGATCAGATCAGAGGTTAGTCATGTGTAAATGAACAACAAAGTCCATTTACTCCCAGCCGCCCGTAGAGCATAGCGGGCTCGGTCCATGTTTGCTCTCCTCTGATTAGCAGACAGATCCCCCGCTAATCTCCATATGGTCCACCCCGTGTGAAAGGGGCCTTTAGGTCTTGTTCACACCAGTATGCATAGACTTCAGTTTTTCTGCACGTGTTTTGCAAGGGCACAAAGAAAACAATTGTTCTCTATGTGCCCTGTTTACATCACAGCACAAGTATCATATGCAGATTTTTTTTTTCTGCGCAGGAATCTGCAACGTGTATAAAACTCACTAAACCGCACATGAAAACTGATGTAAACTTGTATCTCTGCATGTGAAATCCACGCATTTTTCCTGCACATATGGTATGAACGAGGCCTTAGTGTCACTGTTCATATCATGCCGTGTACAAATGGCAATTTTCAAGACAGATTTTTCAGTTAAAGGATAATTTCACCTTTGGGAACATGTAACATGTTCTCATAGCTGCAGCCATACCCCTGCTCCCCCTCCCCCTCACAGATAGTACGGGGAGAAGTTTTCTTGTACTATCTGTCAGATTTAAAAAAAAATAGCGTGGCCCTGCGGGGCTCCGCCCACACAGGTGCATCACTCATTCACAGAGTTCTGTGAATGAGTGCCTACAAGTCCCATTAGCCTTAGCGGCTGTCAGCTTGTAGCTTTCAATGAACTACCATGGTGCTGTGGTAGTTCATTGAAGATTTCTGTCAGAATATCTGCTTGCTCGTACATCCCATAAGGTAAGCAGATATTTTGACAGGTCTGCAAGAGCCCTGCATGGCGTCAGCGATCTACTGATTGCTGGTGCAATGCTTTCCAGGCTCCTGCAGACAAAAAAAGTAAATGCACATTTTTTTTACCTGCAAAAAAATGTGCATTTATTATTTTTGTCAAAAAGGTGAACTTCTCATTTAAGCATGACGGGTCCGTTCTAACAAAATCTTGTGTTGCATTTAGGACAGGGCTACACTGGCAATTTTAATCTCTTTGCCGGCAGTTAACTGAGCAGGCTAGAGCCACACAGGAGAATTTTAGTATCTCAGACCTGCTAATAAAATTGCTAGTAATTTAATCACTAAGTGTAGCAAAGGAGAACTAAATAAATTTAATAAATGGGTGCCTATGGAGAAGGGTACACAAATAACATGCAGGAGCAATCAATTGTCCATGATCTTGCAATTCATGTGCTATTGATTGCTCCCAGATAATGCCACATGCTACTTGTGTAGCCTCGTTCACAGGGAATTTTGAGCTAATAGCAGGATCTGCTGTGTCGTTCTAGTCTATGCAGGTGGCAGCACATAGTTAAATCTCTTAGCAGCATGAAATTAAATTGCCAGTGTAGCCCTAGCCTTACATCCTTAAATACCTTTTAGGAATGATTTTATGGTATATTTTAAAAACAGGAATGTCATTATAAATTTGGTTTTAAATTGCTAAATTAGAAAGCAAAGCATTGTCATTGTCCAGAGAACTATATTCCATATTTTTTACAAAAATAACTACATTACAGGTGGTTTTGAAAGATTTTAAATGAAATTTAATTAAAATGAATGAAACAGTGGTCATCAACATTCATAGTATTTTTTCTAGACCCTAAAGCCCAAATCTGGACACAGCAAACCTTGGAGTCATTGTACAGTGCAGGGCTATTAACCCTGTATTGTATGTGGGAGGAGCAGGAATGCAACCGCAGCCAGAGCAGCTTACAGAGGAGACTGCGGGGTACCACTCCCACAGATTGAGGGAGCATGCTGGAGCAAGGAAAAGGGTAATAGAGCCTTTTCTATGACACCCAACAAGAATTTAACCCCTGTGATGTGGGGGGCCTAACTGCAAGGGTTAATTTTTTATTGTGCCTAGAGTTGGGCATCAAATTAAACTGCATAGCTCCATGCACAGATAAGCAACAGGTTAGTTATGCCATCACCACCAGCACATTCTCACCTTCCCTTTGATCTCTACCCGTGGTGGAAGGAAAGAAAATCGAATCATCTATGGCTTGCCCCAAATCCTGTTTCATTCATAGAAGCAGTAGTATGGTTTCTATTAATATAGGAGCTGGATAGAAAGGGTGGGCATAATCAACCTCTCTTTATGAGAGTCTGTGAGAACTTCTTTGTTGTATAATCCCCTGCTACACCAAAAATTTACAATGGCGAGTACTGGGGGGTGAGGGAGGATTTCTACTAACAGAATAAGAATCAGTAGAAGGGACACATACCAGTGATAGAGTACAACACTGTTAATATAAATATTCACTTAACCCAATAATATATTGTTGCTGTTCATGTTAAAATGAATGCTGGTTCGAAAAATAATTATATTCAAATGCGTATTTTTAAAATGTTAATAAACCCAGGATCCTGCATTCACTCTATCTGGTCTTCCACAGTACACAGAACATGGAAATGCAATTATTTTAGTAGATATACAGTAAACTGCTAAATACTTTTTATCATCAGCAGTATATAGCAGACCTGTGACTTCTTTCAGTGTCCAGCCGAGCACTGGTTAATCTTGAAGAAGTTTTCATTATCCTCTGACTGTCCTATGAGACTGCAGGACCCCTGACCCTCTCTCCAGACAGCTCTGATTTACCCTGTGCTGATCACATGCACCCTCCCCCCAAAAAAAACTCTCTAGCATCACACACAAAACAGAGCATGTGCAGACTTGCCACTGTGCTCTGTCCATAGGCAGGTGGATTGGGGACAGTAAAAGAAGGGGAGGATCAGAGAAGACAGGATCAAACAGCCTGTTTACGCAGTACGGAGGATTAACCCTTTAGGTTCCACAGTGAGTATAACAATCAAGCTTTACTGCATATACAGTCATCCTCCTCCAAATCTCTAAATTCCCTTCTTTTTTTGCTGTGATCCCACTTCCTGTGAGAGGGTGGCTAAGTTTGTTCTTTATGGTCCCACTGTAAGTAAAAGTATAGCCACCCTCTCTTGCTTATTCTTGAGATGAACTAGGGACTATAGAAATTTGTAGTGTGCATAGAGCAGTGCACGTGACCGCAACTGTGCAGTGCTCATTACAAACATTCAGATGTGAGGGAAAAAAGAAAGGTTTTTGGGAGATCATGAAGGATGTTACAATGAAGTAGAAAAACACAGTTGGAAACAGTCTCATTAACCACTTCTTAACCGGCCATTCCATATAAACGGCCGGACGGTGGCACTGCAGGGTCGGGTGGCCGTATATAAACGGCCTCCCTGCACAGTGCTTGTGCGTGCTCCCCGGTGCCCGCTGTTTCCTCTGGACACAGTGAAACACCGATCATCGGACGGGACCTCTGTACAAGGTCCCGATCATGTGATCACTGATTGGCATCATTGCTTACTACGTGTGAAATCTGTGAATGATCACAGAGGTCACATGGCACAAGGCTATTCACAACAGCCTTGTACAATGTGACAAGCTGTGACCAATCACAGCTCACTCAGTTCTCAATGGCTGCAAGAATGCAGACAGAAAGAAAGAGAAATGATTGCTTTTACATCCTATATGGGTATAAAAGCAATCAGTGTAAAAAAAAAAAAAAAAAATCTTTATCACCCCCCAAAAGTAGTACAGTGTCACCATGGTGACACTGTACTGCTAGGGTGACAGTATGTAAAAAAAAAAAAAAAAAATAAAAATGTAAAAAAAAATGTTTAAAAATTATAATTTTTGGTTATAAACTAATTTGGCTTATTTTTTTTTTTTTTTTACTAAAAAGATAACGGAATACATTTTGGACAAGATTTATGATGAAATATTATATTTATTTGCAAAATTTTATAAGAAAAACTTTTTTTCAAACTTTTTGGACATTTTCATTTACATAGCAAAAAAAATAAAAATCCCAGCGGTGAATAAATGCCACCAAAATAAAGTTTTATCTGTCTCAAAAAAATGGTAAAAAACTCATATGGGTACAGTGTTGCATGACTGCGCATTTGTCATTCAAAGTGTGATAGCGCTGAAAGCTGAAAATTGCCCTGGTCAGGAAGGGGGGGTAAAAGTGTCCGGACGGAAAGTGGTTAAAAGAGTACAGGGCCATTAAATTATAACTAGAGGCAAAACTTTTTTAAGTTTTGGACAAAGGGGAGATGAAATAGATCACCTGTCCGTTTTTATTGCTGTCTGCTCCCCCTGTTATGGAGATTCACCCTATCTATTTGTCTGGTTTACCATTGATAGTGAAAGACAATCTCAAATTTTGGGTTGTCCCCAGAACAGTAACTGAGGGGAAATCTTCCAACGGAGACACTAGTTCTGTTGACCTAGGGGGGCCCAATGGATTTCCTTAATTTACAGGGATTTCCTCTCACTTCCTGTTTTGGTTATGGAACAGGAAGTGATAATCCCCCAAATGGGACACAGATGGCATAAAATACTGACAGGGGTTGTAGCCCTCCCTTACCCTATTCAAAATGAAAAAAAAAGTTTTGCCTATTTTTGAAAAATAAAGATATTGTTTAGTGTCAGTTTAGTTCTGTTTTAAAAAATTTATATATTTAATTTTTACATAAGCTGTTTAGTAAGATATTGATTAACATAACCTATTCATAATAATCTACAGCTGGGTATATTTTTCTCTGGCTGAATAAAAAAAAATTAATTTCTTTACTTCGCAATTATTAAAGTATTTAGTTTGTAAATAAAATCTTTGGGTTATGGTCTGTCCCCCATCCGTTGTCATAGATTATATGTTCCATTGCAGTGCCTTTAGGTTTACTGTTTCATCAAGTTCCACATCTATTTGCTAGGAGACACGTCAGAGAGAAGGGATCGTGCGGCTGAATCCTCTACAGGAACCTTTACTGTCTGAACTACTGAGTGGAAAGTTTACTGTGCTGGTGAGTGATCCTTTACATTTTATTAAAAAAGAGCAAAGAACTAGTTTTGTGTAATTGGCATAAAACCTCGTGAAAAAGAGCCATTAGTGTAAGACTGCAATCCATTAATTCAACTGCAAGGGCAGTCACAATTTGTTTGGGTTCCATAGCAGAAATCATACCTGGTAATTCTGAGTTTCCATTCCATTGCATATAAAAAATCTTTTTTTGGAACATTTCTCGGCAGTCAGTGCCTGACCTCTTTCATAGAGAGGAGTGAAGGATCAACTTACTGTTTGTGTTCTTCTATGAGGGAGAGTATTGCAGCAGATCCTGGCAATGGAATATTATAAAGTCTGTATTTTACAATGAACTTGTAACCTGCATAAGTAAACCACCAAGTCACTCTGATATGTATAATATGTCACTAATACTACTAAGCCAGTAACTTCCTACTTCCTTTTATCAGAGTGTACGGGCTCCGACTGGAGCTTCCATTGCAATCTTTACCGCCAAACTTCACCACCCAGCAAGAAAGAACAGTAAAGAGGTTCAGCACACAGTGCTTCAGGCCCTCTTCTACCTTCTGGATCGTGCTGTGGAGAGGTAAGAACCAAGTCAATTAAAAAGAGCAGATTTAATCCTGGGACAGCTAGAAGAGACAAGTTGTACATACGAGACATTTTTAACCACAAGCCTACAGGGCATTTATACCCCCTTCCTGCCCAGGCCAATTTCCAGCTTTCAGCGCTGTCACACTTTGAGTGACAATTGTGCGGTCATGCAACACTGTACCCATATGAAATTTTTATCATTTTTTTGTGACAGATAGAGCTTTATTTTGGTGGTATTTAATCACCTCTGGGGTTTTTATTTTTTCTTAAACAAACCAAAAACCACTGAAGATTTTGAAGAAAAATTTTTTTTTCTTAGTTTTTGTTATAAAATTTTGTAAATAAGTGATTTTTCTCCTTCCCTGATGTGAGTTAATGAGGCTGCAGTGATGGGCACTGATAGGCTGCACTGATGGACCCTGATAGGTGGGCACTGATGGGCATTGACAGGCATCACAGATGGGCACTGATACATGGCACTAATAGGCAGCACTGACTGGCACTAATAGGCAGCACTGACTGGCACTGATAGGCGGCACTGACTGGCACTGTTAGGCAGCACTGACTGGCACTGATAGGCAGCACTGACAGCCACTGATAGGCAGCACTGATTGGCACTGATGGGTGATACTGAAAGGCAGATCAGATGGGCACTGATATGTGGCATTGATGTGCATTGGTAGGCACTGATATGTGGCATTGATGTGGCACTGGCATGAGGCACTGATGAGCACTGACACAAGGCACTGCTGGACACTGACAGGTGGCACTGCTGGGGCTACACTGATCATCAGGGCACACTGATCATCAGTGCCCTGATCATCAGTGTACATGTCCCCTCCGCAGAAAAAACCGATTACCGGCTCTCCTCTCCTCTCGAGCTGTCAGCGTGACAGCTCGAGAGGAGAGAAATGCCGGTTAACCCGGCATTTCCCTGTTTACATGTGATCAGCTGTGATTGGGCACAGCTGATCACATGACCGAGCCGACATCTTCGGCTCTTTCCGTGATCGGTGATCCGCTGTGTCCGAGGGACACAGCGCACCGCCGATTGCCACGCTGCGTGCTCCCTGAGCTGCGCATGCGCAGTGAGAATGGGAGGACGTCATATGACGTCCTCCCAGAACAAGAGAACCACCTTGCGTCCTTCATATTACTATATGGCGGGCGGGAGGTGGTTAAAAGATGATAAAATATAGATAAATCCGGTATGAAAAGATATGATTAATTGCTTTCTGTATTCTAGTTACCAAGGTAAGGCATTGCTTTTTGGCACTTACGGATATTTTAGTGTATATTTCGAAGTGTTATTTTAAGCCTTCTTTACTTTTGCCCTCCATACCATTAGTATTCACTTTTTTACACATGAAAAAAGCTGCTAGGAGCCAGAGGTTTATGTAAGCCCCAACAAAGAACTCTTGTTTTGCTCCCCTTTGGTCTATTAAATAAGCCATTAGAAGAGTTTTGTTATAGCTCTGTGCAAAATATGCCTGTCCTTTCTACCCCGGGGATGACTGTTTTAATCATAGGTTTAGTTCTGCTTTAAGCTTTAATTTGCTAGTGTTACCAAGGCAATTGGTATGGGGTATGATTTATACAAAAAGTAAAGTCAGCTGCCATTTCAGTTTTGGATGAACATTGGTGGTTTGAATTGTTTACTGGCTCCCCAGATCTATTGAGGCTTCTAACTGCATATTTTCCTAGGAGTAGTGCGTGCTTCTGCCCCCTACTATAAGATCATAACTAAAGTGTAACTCGCTTGCAGCACTTTAACATCTTGGTAACAGTATGGAGAATACATTAGATCAGCATCACACCATCATTTCAGTTTATATTAGCCATGGAAGTTGGGTGGAACAAGGAATGCTACTTTCCTTACAAATATAAATGATACCCTAGTGTCAAGTGCATAGTGGCTGGGGCCTTTTTATTACTTTGTGCTATTTTATCATTTTAACAGTTTTATGAATTGCTACAGGTTTTAGCTCAGGAATATACTGCCTTTTCTACAAGGATTCAACATTAAGGATTTGTGGGCCTGTGTCAACCTGCTTTTCTCCCTCATACAAGTCGTTGAGAATACAAAAGCAGCTTGAAACTGTTGATGAAGTTTAGAAGGAAGTCATCTGCAGGTTAAACTGATGTCAAATTTGAACTGCATAAAAAAGCTGCATTTGTAAGCCTGTTGACACAGCCAGAAGGTGTTTTACCTTAATGCATAAAAATGCATTAAAGTGTTACTAAACCCAGGACCCTGCATTCACTATATCTGGTTTCCCACAGTACACATAACATGAAAATGCAATTATTTTAGTAGATATGCTAAATACCTTTTCTCATCAGCAGTTAGAGCAGTCTTGTGACTTCTATCAGTGTCCAGCTGGGCACTAGTTAAAACTTATAGGAGGCGTTTTCATTCTCCTCTCACTGCCCGGTGAAATTGCATAACTCCTGACCCTCTGTCTGGACAGTGCTGATTGGCCCTGTGCTGATCACATGCAGTCTCTGAAAAAAAAAGAAAAACCGCTATAGCAGTACACACCAAACTGAGCATGTGCAGAGTGTCCCCGAGACTCTGTTCTATCAGGAGATGAAATGGGGATCATGAAAGAAGGGGAGGATCAAAGAAGACAAAATAAAACATCCTTTTTACACAATGCAGAGGATTAACCCCTTACATTCCGCAGTGAGTTTAGCAAGCATGCTTTACTGCATATACAGACTGATTTTACTGTTGCGGATTTAGTAACACTTTAAGGTAAAAAAAACCTTTTGCCTTTAGAACCACTTTAACAGGTTTCCGCTCGGCCTATAGCCAGATGGCGGCCTGCAAAATCCCTCGTCCCTCCGGGTGGACGCCATATGGCATCCTTTCGGGCATGCGCAGTTTTCATGCCCGCAGAGCCGCATAGTGGCACGATCTGTCACTGGCCGTGTACCTCGGACACAGTCAATGACAGATCTGAATACCGGCCCTGTTGCCGGTACCATGTGACCTGCTGTGACCAATCACAGCAGGTCACATGACAGTTGTATACAATGGTTGGCTTCCTTTGATGCCATCCATTGTATACAAGTGTGTCTAGCTGTGAATGGTCACAGTGATCACATGCTGTGTCATGTGATTAGCCTTGGCCAAATCACAGCTAAGCACAAAAAAAAAACCCTGAATGAATCGATGTCATTCGGGTAAATGCTTGCTTATAGCAAAGTAATTCTTTGCTATAAGCAAATTGTGTAAAAAAAAAAAAAAAAAAATACTGATCACTTCCCCAAAGTAGTACAATGTTACTATGGTAACATTGTACTACTTTGGTCATAGTGAAATATGAAAAAAAAATCTTTCAAAAAAAAGAAAAAAATTAAAACTAATAAAAAAATGTAAAAAAATTATAATTGTTTTTTTTTTCATACTGTCACCAGTCAGTGTCCCTGATCACCGCCATGCCAGTTATATGATGACGCTGTACTGCACTGGTGACAGTATGTAAAAAAAAATAGTGAAAATAATTTTTTTCATTTTTTCATTAAAAAATTGACAAAAAAATTACAACTTCAAAAAACTCGCCACGCCTCTTATTAAATACGTTGGACTGTCTACTTTACAAAAACTGGTCATTTGGGGGATATCTGTACTGTTCTGACATTCTTGGACCTCAAGAAACTAGATTGGCCGTCAGTACTTCAGGACTGATCAATATTCAGATATATCCCATAGTTTGTGAACTCTGTAACTTTCCTACAAACTAAATAATACATCCTAATTTGGGTTATTTTCACCAAAGACATGTAGCAGAATAAATCTCGGCCTAAATTTATGAAGAACAATTATTTATTTGCAAACTTTTATAACAGAAAGAAAAACGTGTTGTTTTTTCAAAATTTTTGGTCTTTTTTTGTTAATTTAGCAAAAAATAAAAACCCCAGCGGTGATTAAATACCACCAAAAGAAAGCTCTAGTTGTGTGAAGAAAATGATAAAACTTTAGTTTGGGTACAATGTTGTATGACCGCGCAATTGTCATTCAAAGTGTGAGAGCGCTGAAACCTGAAAAATGGCCTGGGCAGGAAGGGGGTAAAAGTGCCCTGTATGGAAGCAGTTAACAATGCGTTTCTGGAAGATGTCTATTGAGGAGAGCAGAATAACGAGCCATTCCAGGTGAAGGTACTATAGCTCACTCAAATCCATGAAAAATAAACTAAAAAAATTGTATTCATTCTAGGCAGAATATTAACAAATTCCTATTCTTTTTTTTGTTAGCTAAACAGAATTATCATGAGAAAAAAATGCAAGTGAAATTACTTTGGCTTTAAATATGACACTTCCAAGCCATGCTAAAATGTTCTTGACTAAAAAGCCATATACAGTGTCTACTTTCGCATATCATCTTCTAAAATGTACTATGTTTTTTGCTAAATTTTGGGTGTGTATTATTTTGTATTGTGTGTATCTTGGTTGTCCATCTCCCAACAGATAACTGCTTTTTTGCTGTCAGTCACTTTAGATACACTGAGCACAATATCCCTCTTGGGCTTATTATGAAAAGTCCACTAATAAAAACATTCTCCTATACTACTTCATAGATTTTTTTTTTTAACTCTTTCCATCCCCACACCTAAAGCATATTCTCATTTATTTTTGTTGAATTTTGTCAAATGGCAGCCAATACTTTTCAAAGACACTAGGATGGGTGATAATAGTGAGCACACTGCAAAGTTAAATCTATCTCCTCTTTTAATTCTAATTTTTATGCCACTTCTTACTTTAACTATAATAACAGATCCTCTTTTTAACAGCTCTCAAGAATTCATAGTTTACTAGTTTATTTTTCCCCAATCTTTGCTTTCTTCCTAACCTAATATTTAATTTTCTGTTCAGTGATTTCAAGTACTGTACTTTGTAGTCTGATCTAGAAAAACACAGTGAAACAAAGCAGCCTGTCATCTATTTATATAATTTGGGAGGATGTTCGTAAATGAGGAGGGCACCCCC